CCAATGGAATGACAAAGGAGAGAAAACCCTGAAGAATTCTAATGAGGGTAGAAGGTCTAATAGTTTATTCCCATTACTTGCTATATTTCACCTTGTTTGAGAGAGTTCACGAAGTTTAAGACAAAAGCAAAAAATCAGTGTTTTTATGTCTTGCAGTTTTCTATTATATGTCTTAACCTTGTGACGATGATAAAGTACATAGTAAATAAGTTTTAGGGTCTTTTTCTAGCCAACTATGTGGTGTCTAAGGTGTAGCATTAAATATTGTCAACTGAGTTTTTTTCCCCAAAAAGAAATGCAGAAACTTGGAGGTTACAACAAGCTGGGTTAAAAGGTGTTTACAGAGACAAACATCAAGGTTGATATAATAAAAGTATCTTGAAAATAATTTATTTCAAAGTATTTTCAAAGTATATTTCAATAAAATATATCTAACAAAGTTTAAAGAAGTTTCTCCAAAACTTTATAGGTTTTTTTTTAGATTATATATAAGCAATATTCAATCCAATTTCAAAGCCCTACTTTTTCTATGTTCTTCAGCTCTTGGGAGATGTACTAGATGGGATATTTTAGTTATAGTAAAAGGAAACATCCCTATCTAGTTTAGGTAAAAGGAGAACACTTCAAAGATACTGTTGAATTCCAGGAATATCTTAAGGACTCAATGGCTGGAATACAACTTGTCTTTGTAAGTAAACTGGAACCTGAAAATGAATGTCTCCTTCGTCAGTAATTTGAGGTAAGTGGTCTTTCTCTGCTCTCTATGTCTGTTTCAGTGTGTTTGCTCCATTCTGCTGTCTGCACAGCTTTCCATGACACTCAAACCAGAAGAAAAAAGATGGCTGTATCTGGTATCCATGTGGTCAAGAAATGAACTGATACAGACACTTAAGCGCTCTTAGTCACAATTCCAAATCCTCATGGGAAGGGACTTTTATTGACTCAGACTGTGTCTAATGCCCACACAATTGACTGATGATGTCACATTGAAATAGCATGAGGAAAGACTCACATATTCATCTAGAGAATATATCATATGTAAAATAGTGATCTATAATTATTGTTAAGTATTAAGAAAAATGTTTATTTGTCCATTCAACAAGTACTAAATGAAAACCTACTATATTTTAACCATTGTTCTAGATACAGACTATTCACATAGTAAAAGAGGTAAACAGGGTACTTGGCTAAGTTGTCATGAATCACAGAATCAGACAAAACAAACAGCCAAAGAAAACACTATGACACTACTAATTGGAGATGACAATAAGAATGGAAAATATTTTAAAAATTTAAGTAATTTCTTAAGTTCTTATAAAAAGAAATCAATGCAGAATGAAATTTAAGAGTCCTGCCCATGATGTCTCTCTAAACACATGTAGGTTTGGGTGATTCTTAGAGGAAGGGAAATTGCACACCTCTTTAAGAAGTTGCTCAATGAATACAGTTACATAAATATATTTGAAGACTATGTATTCCATTGGATAGGTTAAAACAAGTTTACTCTTCACTCACACATTTCAATGCTTACCAGAAATGATAGCATACTGTAAAATAACCAGATCTCCTTTACATGAACTGTACTTACTTTAATGTCAATATTGGACAGTTTATGTACTTTGGAGGGAAGCTTCTAAGAGTATAAATGAACCATAATATGGTTACCAGGGTGAAATTTTATATCACAGGCTTCCCCTGCTATCTGAAAGTGGAATGTCCCTATGAAACCTTTTGTAAGCCAAATGGAGTAAAACAAAAAGCAATGAACATTTCCTAAAAGTGAAAATCCTCTTCGGAATTCTTTCCATTAGTGATAACAGGTACTAATGCAGGTCTTTCATTAAGAGTAAAGTGGTGAAAAGAAAACTTGTGGATAGTGGGGGAACCTATAAATGAGGAGCTTTTAGCATATTCTAAGGTATAATTAGAGTATGGGCTCATCCAATATGGTAGTTCTATGAAGATTTCATTTAATAGTCCCTGCTTTCAGGGCTCACTAAGAAAAAACACTTACTGTATAACTCAGCTCACCAAGAAACAGGGAATGGGGCATCTGGAAAGTTCTGTCCTTGGCCCACTTCTTGGTCTAACTCTTCTCAATTTCCATTGACTATTTTATCTAATCCCCAAATGTTAATTTACCATTGAGATGCTGAGGTCTCTTAGCTATCTATCTACAGTATAAGGTGCTCTATCTCTCCAATTTAATATTTAATTCCATCCCCAAATTTGTCTCCATCCACACTACACTATAGGCTCCATGAGGGCAAGAGTGATGAGTGATTTGCAGGTGTATGTCTAGTATCTAAAGCTGTACACACACTAGTACAAAATATCTCTGACTTAGAGCCTTTTTTCTATGTCTTAATTTAACGTTACTCCCAGTGGAATGTTCTTTTCTTCCATCCACACACCTTGTAAGCCCCTATTCATTTTCTCATGAGTCAATTCAAGCACCTCCTTGATGAAATCTTTCTTGAATTCTTCAGAATTAGTGATTGCTTTCATTGTCCAGCACCTACACCAGCCATTAAAAAAAGACCCTACCTCCAATCTGATTCTGGCTTCCTATTTCTGTTTGTGTGTGTGTGTGTGTGTGTGTGTGTGTGTGTATATCATATATTATATATACAAATATACACATATACATATATACATATTTATTTATGACACATCTGCAACTTTCTATAAGACTGCAAGATTGTTGAAGTCAAGGACTACAGCTTACTTGCTATTGTATCCTTGGGCTAAGACTATTTGTTGAGTGAATGAATATATGTCACTATTAGAAATGATAATTTTCCAAAGGAATGAAGATAAGTTAAACAAAAAAGATGTAATCGGTAAGCAGGAAAAAAACAAAACAAAACAAAAAAACTAAAAGCACTATCATTACATAAATAGATGAAACTAGAGATATATATGCTTGGGTTAGTACAAAGTTTATATGAAATTCTGGAGATGCTACTTAGACACCAACAACTATTTTTAACAGAAACAAATTTCCTGCTCCAAGTAGAAACTTTGGTCCTACTTATTTTTTTCTTTCCCAAATCTGTTCATTCTATTAATCTATTTTTTTACTTCAAAATGGTTCCTTAAAAAGTATAACATCTAACAGTATAAACAGGTTCAAAGATCTATATGTTTTCATATTCCTAAAGATTAAAAATTGACTAATTTCTGATCATTACATTATATTCTGTTACCCTCTAAGAGCTTAAAATTATAAAATATATATAATAAAGGCATATTTATATTACTTATTCTAAAGACTATCACTTACAATATCCATGATATTTTTTTGTTCAGTTAGTGAAATCTAGTTCTATGTATAGCAAAGAAAACAAACAGAAAAACAGAGTTCTTAGACTGCCCTTTAAAATTTTCTCATATTTTTCTGACTTAATAGATTATTTACCCTATTCTTTTCCCTGATATATAATTCAGCTGAGTTAGTTTTGTTTTCTATAAACATCATCGAGTTTCTTAGTATTTCTAACTAAATCTACAGATCATATGCCATCAGTATTTCATTTTCATGATGAGTAACAAAATCTATCTGAAAATAATCAAGACAATTTAGAAGCATGCAATTAAATTTTAACAACTAATTGATATAGTCCCTTGAAGTGGCTGTTCTAGTATACCCTGTAAGTGTTCCTTTCTTGAAACAACAATCCAAAAGAGGAAAAAAAAATGTTAAGTTCTTTGTAGGCACTCTCATTCTAGGAGTTAGATAACTTTTACTATTTACTTTTGATAAACATAATTAAACATCACAATTATTAAAAAGTTTCAACACAGAATTCATAGACCCAGAACTCTGTCAACCAAGCAGTAGAATATGGAAACACTTTCATTCCCTGTATCAATCTAATATGACAGTCATTTTAAAAATAGATATCATGAGCTTCATAATGTTTTGAGGTGGTTTGTTTTCTGAGGTTTACCAATTTGAGACACATTTATTACTTCTAGCTTTTTTTAACTACTTACCTAAGTACAGAATTATTAAAATTATCATAGTTTTCTAAAAAATAATTCACTATCCACTAGTTCGGTGTTTTAGAATTTGAAACAGTTTTGTCTTGATTTACACAAAAGAGTGCTCCTGAGAAGAAGTATTATTGAAAACAAAATCGAATATATTCTAGGGCTGCTGTTACTTAAATATATATCTTATTAATTCTTGTATAAATAACAAATTCTTAGTTGTACAAAAGACCACATCCTCATGTTACTTTGTCAAAGTCCCTTTTAAGTTCAGATTTTCCTACACTTCTTTCAGTTAAATCAAAACGTAAGAAACTGAAGGCATTAAGCACTATTAGTCTGTTTAACAGCATAAAGATAAATGAGAGCCAAAACATATTTGTAAAAGGACTCGTTGCCTCTGTGTGAATTCATATCTATATATGCATTTGCATTTATGTGCAGTGACTTACGTAAGTACCCATAATTTCCTGTGAGTCTACTTTAAATGATTCATAGGTTTTCAAACATGGATGTATTTTCTTTTCTAAAGGTATTAGTCTTATTATTATAATATAGAATATATTATATGATATAGAATGCTTTATTCTATAAATTTCCAAAGCGACAGAAAAGAGGCAAAAAATGAAATTACTAACTAAAGTGTCCAATTCTTATCTGATTGGTTCTCTGGTCTTCCTGGTCCCCAACCTAACAGTTTTCTTCTTGCCTAAAGTTCAAAAAAAGACAGACTTGCTAGATGCCATGTACTACACTCTGACAGAATCTTTTCAATCTTAGGGCAACAGTGACTGGTCTGCACTCAGCGTGTCAGTCATGATGACACTGTTACTCTTCTTATTTTCCTGGGTGTCCCTGGGTATCTCTTATCTTCTGCCCACAGTCACCATCCGTGACAGGAGATGAGCATAGCCATCAGGTACAAGCAAGCTGGTCTGTCTTTATGCACTGTGGCACCACTGTCCACTCACACAGAAGAGAAGAAAAAGACAGAGTCACCTTACCCGCAGAAAGGAGAGGTCCCGGTTGTGCTCGATGCTGGTGATCTCCAGGTTGCCCATGACAACCTCACAGTTCTCATAGTATTTGCGTAAGGCTCGGTACTGCTGCTCCAGGTCAGAGAGAGAGCTCAGCTTATTCTCTGTTCCTGCACACACTGCCAAGACAAGAAGATACACGGGGAGTTATGTAACCTTTATATGACATACACTATGAAAATATCTCCCTCAGCTGTGTTCCACAACATTCCACTCACATTAAATTCCCTGAATTAAAGTTTTCTGAATGGTACTAAGACCCATACCCACACACTGATAAATGTTTTTTTTATTTTTTCCAGCTTTACTGAGATATAACTGACATGCAACATTGCATAAGTTTACATGTAGATTTGACACATGTATATATTACAAAATGATTACCATCGTAGCATTAACTAACACCTCCCTCACATCACATAATCACATTTTCTTGTTGTGGTAAAAACATTTAAGATCTACTCTGTTAGCAACTTTCAAGTATGTAATACAGTATTGTTAATTATAGCCACTCTATGGTACATGAGATCCCCAGAATTTATCATTTTATGAATATAAGTTTGTATCCTTTGACCAACATCTCCCCATTCCCCTACCACTCCTAGCCCCTGGTCACCTCATTCTATTCTCTATTTCTATGAGCTTGGCTTTTCTAGATACCACATGTAACTGGTAGCATAGTTTTATATTCCTAAACTAATATGCTAACCACAGAGAGTAAGAAGGTATGGATTCTGTTAGAAACACATAGGAGATAAACTTAATCACATTTGTGGTGAGCATATAAAGCATGTAAATACATTTAACTTCAATTAATTTAGATTTTCTTTAGGATATAATTTAATCTATTTTCAAATAGGGTGAGTCTACATATCTAAATAAATCAAAAGATGATAAAAGTAACTTATTTTTAAAAATATTTATCTATTGCAAAACAAGCTGCTCTTATTGAATAAATGTTTTACATACCTAAAACTTATACCTTTCAGTCCTCAAAAATACTACCTTTTGAAATACAAAATTTTAAATACAAATGTTAAAAATTTAGATTGAAATATTTATAAACATAGACTACAAATGGAATGCACAGCAAAATATAAACTTATTCTTATCAACTGGGTCATCACTCTATATAGTCATTAGCATTCTAAAGTATAATGGACTGATAATAAATTATCTCAGTCTGCCATCTTTGGGGTGGGGAGTTTATTCTTGAAAATGTACATATGTGAGCTTATAAGTATACACATATGTGTTTCTAATTTGTGTTTGTATTGAAACCTTTCCTATCTCCCAGAACTCAGAGTTTACTTATTCCTTCTCATGGTTTGTATACCATGGTTTGTATCCATGTACAAAATTACCATTTAATGCACCAACTCTAATCTTCAACTGACTAAAAAACTGTAGTATGAATCTTATAATAAGAGTATGGAAAGTTGAAAAAAAGTACGGAAATTTGGATGATGAGTGAATTCTCTTTGAGTAACTTACATAATGTACACCAATTTAAAGCAAGATATAAAACATAAACTTTGAAGACACTAGAAACAGAGCTTAGTTATAAAGCCATATAAAACACCTGTGTATTATGCACTCAGAAATGACAAAGAACTCATGATGCATGATGTGGTGTTCAAGGGAATATATAAAAATCAGTGTACAGATATTTAAATGAAAACATTTCTAAAATACTTAGTATATTCTGACCTTTTCTATAGAAGCTTAAACAAAGTGGAGAAGTATCTATTAATACAACAGTAGTAACTATTTTTGTATATTTTGCAAGAAGTTATTATTTAATAATATTCATTTAGTTGCTCTAAAAACAATTTTAACCGGCATTCAGAAAATTACCCTCGATTCAAAAAAGTTTCCATTGTTCAGTAAGTGATCACCCCTGTTTTGTATATACAATATGAAAACAAAATTGGAATATGCTCAGGAATATTTTTCAGCAACTAAAAAATACTCCAAAAAACAGAAAATCTGATTAATCACACTATTCTATCCTCCTAACATTCTGCTCTTGAAGTTTTCATTACACACAGTTCAACTGAGGAAATATTTTTGTCTCAGTGAGACTTTCCTATAGATTTATATTTGATTCAAACCACTATCCATAGTCAGTAATATATTCCTCATAATTTTTATCTTGAAAGACAGACTTGATTTTAAAAGAACTAGTTTGGATAGATGCATAAAAATCATCTGTATTTTTCTTCATAAAGCCTTCACTGAATGTCTTGGAACTTCTATTTGTCAATTGATTTTACAATCAAGCAATAAATCCAAAACAATTCTTAAACCATCCAGTTTTATTGATTTCACAAAACTGTTCATCAAACAGAATTGAAAAATCTTCTTCATCAGCCAAAACAAGTTTAAAAACTGCAGCCCACTTACCAACATTATTATGAAGTGCTTAAACTATAAGCTTATAATAGCTCAAGCTTCAAAAACCCTGAATTTACATGTGCTCCCTAGAGTTTTCATTTCCCTTGTAACTTCAGCAGTAAAGCTATGTGAGGCCTTACTAAAATCACCAATTATTCTATTTGGTATTGATTTTGTTACAAATGAAGCTATACTTGCAAACATGGGCTTTTTATTCTTCTTGCTTTAAGATTTATATCCAACAGTGAATGAACTACATAATCCTCATTCAGTAAAAAATCATGAATATAATTAAATTTGTGGCAATATAAAAGGTAAATTAACAAAATTATTCATTTGCTTCATGGGGACAATGCATTAGAAGCAAAATGAAGAAACCCTAACAATATCCATGTTAATACTAACAATAACTGCCTCCAGGCTTGTTATAACTGTGGCAACCAGCACTCCATTTTGCTTACACATAAAGACAGCAAGAAGGAAGAAAAAAAAAAAACTAAACTAAATCAAAGTTTTGTCTTTCAAACCAAATGTCTATGTAAGATATGAATTAAGAAGTGAATAATCATTTATATAGCATCTACCACTAACCTAGTATAATGGAAAAGTATACATTGATTAAAATGTCCAAGGTATTTTATAAGGGATCATGTGGCTATAAAAGACACACTGGGATGAAAGCAGCCAGCAGTATGCATATAAGCCATGTGCTTATTGTGTGTACATAATTCAGGGACTGTATGCACACACAAAAAAAGAGAAAAATTGGTAACCTGAGAAAAATTATTTAATTTTTTGATTTAACACTGAGAAGTACTTTGTCCTTTCAGAACCAGTAACATAATAAATATGCTCTAGTTTAATGCACTTTGGCATTTAAGAATCTGAAACTATAGTAAACCTCAAAATATAAAATATTTAAAGAGCATTTAAAAAGCAGCAAACATTTTCAGTAATTGTTATTGAATGCTGTTATAGTTACATGAAGAATGCAAGTTCTGGCAGCTTTATCCAGGATATCAAAATATATCCTGTGGGGGTGCATATTTGCCTCTTTCACTACTGTAGTCATTGAATCCAAGCCACATTACCTCTCGTCTGGACTTTGACAGTTGCCTCCTAACTGTTTATCAGGTTTCCCTTCACTTAATTTCCCTTCAAATTAATGTGCCCCCATTAATTTGTTCTCCACACAGAGGCTAGAACAATCATTTTAAAAGCATAAATCATTCATGTCACTCCCCTATTGAAAACATGCCTTGGCTTCCAATCACACTGATCATAAAGTCCAAAATTCTCACAAGAATCTGTATTCAGATCTTGCTCCAATATCATTTTCAAGGAAGCCTTCTCTGACCTCCTTATTTCCAATAGGTACCAGGTTCCTAACCATCACACTCTGTCTTCTTTGCCTTCCTTATTTTTGTTTTATGCTCTCAGAAACTACATTAGACATTTGCTTGTTTACTTGTTTATTATTTGTCTCTACATTACAATGCAAGCTTTCCAGGAGGTAGGCCTTTGGTCTCCTCAACACCTAGAAGAGCAGGCACATAGTAGACTCTCAGTCAGTATTTACTGAAAAATGAATGGACTTTGGAGTCACTGAGAACCATAACTAAGACAGAATCAGAGAGGCTGGTTCTTCCATTAATAAAAGCTGAATGAACTTGGGCAAGTCACTTCATCACTTGGAGTCTCCATTTTTCATATTAACAAAGTGGGCCTCTGTGCTGATTGTTCTTAACAATAAACCCAGTTTAAAAGTTAAGAACACAGGGCCTAGAGCCAGATTTCTAGCATTAAAATGAAGCTCAATCACTGGCCTACAGTTTAATCTTGGGCAAAATACTTACATTTTCTGTCATTCTATTTCCTCATCTGTAAGTAGACAGAATAACCACCACCATCTGATGGCACTACATGAAGATTAAATAAGTTGATACATGTAACTTGGTTTGGAAGATATCTGACTCATTGACAGAGCTCAATGTTAGCTGTTGTCATTTATTTAAATATATAGTGTATAGTATGTGTATATTATACAATGTATTGAGTCACATTAAAATGTAAGACTTGCATGGTGACATACTGAAATCAGTCTGATATAAAGGAATTAGCATTAGGAAAGGAAAATGGAGGTCAGAACTCCATCGGTCCAACACTTCAAGCTGTGTAAACTTGTAAAATTATTTTCATTGGGTCCAATTTTCTCTTCACAAATAGGACATTTTTACTTTTCCTTTCAGCTCAAAAACTCTGTGATTGAATTTATTTCTAAAATACTTATTTAAAACCTACTCTACACTATGTAACAGGCTGCATTCAATGAATGCCCTTAAGGAGGTTACACTATAGCAGCTTCTTGTAAACTTGTAAGTTAATCATACACTTATCAAATGACTCAGTGATCCCATTTGTAGGCATACCCCTAGAAAAATGATAGACTATGTTCACATAAAAATGTGGACACAGATGTTTATAGAAGCTATTCAAATTCACCAAAAGTTGGAAACAATTCAGATGTTTTTCAATGGGTAAATGAAAAACAATCATATACCTATTCCATGAATATCTATTCAGAATAAAAATGAATAGATGATTGATGTATCAATATTAAAAATTCTCAGAGGCATTACACTGACTAAAAGAAGCCAGGCTTAATCACATATCCCATATGATTCCATTGATACAACATTTTGGAAAAACACAAAATCACAAT